GCCAAGCAGAGGTTGTTAATCATTTCTGCCTTCAAAATTCTGAAGAAAGTAAGGTCAGCTGTTTAGTGAAATATCTATTATAAACATATAAACAGTACAAAAACGTACATATTGATAAGAAAAGTGGAACTCTTACTGTCTCTCTTGAAAAAGCTAAAACTTATGGTTGAATTAAGAAAGATTTAATCGTTTATAGCCAAAAAACAATTACTGCGATATCCATCTAACGCCACATTACTGCAGAAAGGTGACTATCTTAGCAAATCTTTCCAAACCCCTTCTCTCATCTTTATAATATTTTATTTATTTGCATGACATTGAGGCAATTTCTTAAAACTTCAAACCCTCTGTTGTGTGTGTGTGAAGTTCTTTGTTTGTTGCTTCCTATACTAGATGAGCAGTCAAAAAATCTACAAATAAGTGCGAAATTTGAAATTCACCGAGTTTAGTGAAGTTTATCGGCAAGATCAACTCGTCAAAGCAATATTCTGTACAGCTGCATTCAGGCAAATGTAGATCTGAAAATGCTGGACCCAAAGCACACCTCCATGAACCGCCGTCAATATTTAGAATAATGCGTGATCTAGCAACGCCCGCTTTGACAGAATAATGCAAAAAAATCAATTGCCCTTGCTCACTAGAAAATTATTGCCTCTTTTTACCATAACGATCTTATTTACTCGCCTTTAAAAAAATATCGTTGATCAATTCGTGTCTTTTTATCTTTTGTGAGAAGTAAATAAGATTAAATTAATAAAATTTCGTTAGGTGTTGATGGTGGTTATACTGAATGGATGGATTGGACCCCTTACTGGCAGAATGTGGAAAGCGATACAATAGTTGGGAAAGGAACATGCACAAACCTCCAAAAGTTTTTACCCCCAAAGGCAAGGGAAAGATTGCAGCGACCTTGGTAAACGAGCACAAATAGGAGCTTGTGACACAGGAAAACCATGGTCCAGTAATTTTTAACTCGGGCTCAACGAATTGAGAATGTCAATACAAAGGCCAGGCCCAAAACAATAACGGTTTGTTGTGTGAAATATTTATCAATCACTTAACTGGTTAATTACGTATATGCAGGGACAACAGAACTACCAAAAGCAAATTGGGCAAGCTTTAGGAAAAGGGCCATCGAAAAAAATATTAACCCCCTTCTATCAAAATGTCTTTTGAAAATCGCCTTTATTCGATCTGTTTTACATCTTTGAGAAATGTCGACATGAATAGAAGCAATACAATCAAGAATTTCATATGAATATAGGTTGATAATCTTAAAACAGAGATGAACAAGAAAACAGTTTATATAGAAGGGAAATTCTTGGCCTTTCACCGGCTCCTTGACTAAAGATCAAGGAGGGGTGGATGTCACACGCGGCATGAACACAGTTATGTCCTGTTAATTAACTATGGTGTCGAAAAGTAGTAATTTGCTCAATAAACAAAGTGTATTCACCCTGAGCTATAAGGCAGTGTTCTGTTACGTCAACCATATGTTAGTGTATACATAAAATCGTCCAATCAGGATCACTCTAATTGTGATGGTTTTAATGATACTATAGTTTGAACTACTTTTTAAGTGGATGGAGAAATATGGACATGGAAAAAATTTTGGTGCCTGCACAAAATCTTTGCGGTTGGAAACCAAACAAGAAACATAGACTTGCAAACAACCCAGCACCAAGTCACGGTGGCAAGGAAGTGAAGGGACCTCATCAAATCGCGTCCGTTTCGCAATTTGAAAGCTGTCACAGGTATGCTATCATTAATGTCGTGTGAACTTGTTTTAAACGTCAATTGGTAAATGACATGATATGTAGTATGAAGTTTTGTTTGGTAGAGGCGAAAAAGTGGACTGGCCCAACCCTGGCACAAGAAATTTCCGGTGCACCCTTTGCCTCATCAGCGATTTTTTCCAAAAGCTGTTGAAACTTTAATTGAAACAACTGGAGGTAAGTTCTTTTGTACAGAACTAAAAATTATTAACAAAAAGTCCATCCAACTGTCAAAAAGTGCTTTTGTTTACCAAAGTCCAATCCCTGTTATTGTTAAATCATCTTAAATAATATGATTTTTTACACATTCAATCCCTGCAGTTACCCTAATGACAATATCAATTAAGTATAAATACATTTGTTCAATAAAAAAAATGAGATATAATTTCAATCTAAAATGCTGTTCTTCCAGGATCCTGTTTAAATGACGAATCTGTTTCTCCTTCATAGTACTCACTTTAATTGTTTTAAAGCACAAATAGTCGAGAGTCTCTAATAGTCAATTGGAACGCTCGTCCAGGGTTTTAAGCAGAGTAGTTTATAACTTTTTTGTTATCTACATCTCTGTGATTGTTCTAGAATATTCAGATCCTACAGCAAGGGCCTATTTTCGTGTGGCAGTATTCACCACTTTGTGCAGTATTTAATTTAAAAATGTGCAGGTATTGATTTCGAAAATGTGCAGTACGAATTTTGGGATTTTGTGAAAAATGTCTAAATGCCGCGATCTCAATTCCTATGCGTTTGGTTTCACGATAAACTGGAATTTTCCCCGTCATTCGATTAGAGGTCATTGTATTGCAAATCTCGGTATGACCATCGGAAAGACCCCAATCAAGACTTAAAATCAAAAACGGAAATGACTAGAAATTTCCAAAAATTGCAAGGAATAATTCCCGTTAAAAAATGTAGTTATAAAGTGTGCATGTTAAAAAAATCTAAAATAGGCCCTGCCCAAATAGCAGTACGTTGTTGCATAGTTTGATTGCGAGGATCTTTGCTGACTTATCCCATAAGACTTTCTGGCTTAATTCTCTGCTAGACTCTTACCAACTTCTTTTGCTAATATTTTATTTATATGTTCATTGGTCACACAAACTAAAATCAGTTACTGGTTGCTTGTTTATGTGCAAAGGTTGAACAGTAAGACAAAAAAAATTACTAAGTAAACAGCTGATTGGCTAACAGATTTAGACAATTAATCACTTCTTCACTTTTGCGCATGCAAATGGATATATCGTATTTTTCAGTTGAATGGAAAATATGAGCATGGGGAAGTTTTTGGTCCTTTGCAGCACGACTTGTGGATGGTGGAGTCAAAGAAGAACAAGGAGTGGCCACTAACCCAAGGTCCCAAGCCATGGTGGAAAAGAGTGCAAGGGCTGCTTGAAACACTTCATGTAATACCTCAGAATTGGCCCAGGTAACAATTTGTGACAAGGTTTATAGCAAATATCTCAATTGCAGTGTCTCGCCCTTTTTGTAAGACGGGATGAAGTGACGAGGAAAAAAAATGGTAAATGTGGGTGGAACTTTTTTGCAACTAAAGAAATGCAGCCTCAACTATCTACAGCCTCGTTTTTTTAATTTTTCTCTTAACCTCGTGATACTATGCATATGCATTAATAACTCCATCCCTCGAAAGGTACGATTCTACCCAAATTTTCCGCAAACCTGCGTATATGCTTTGTTGCTTAAATTATGTTAATCATCATTGCTTTCAAGTCATGATTTCAGGACAATTGTAAAGTTTTTAATGCGGTGAAGAGATATGACGGGAAAAAAGCCAATATTACGAAAATTTGCATCATGAAAAACCGTTAACACGTACACTTAAATTATGGCCCTTGATTCCAAGTCAAAAAATTTAGTGGCAAGGATGTGAAGCATTTAGGTACATTTTAGGATTCCAGTTTCAACTTGTTTGAAAATGCATTTAAGAAAGGGGGAAATGTATTTAAAACTAATAACCTTCTTAATATGATATCAATGGTTGTTAAGAGGCGCGTTATTGGATACAATTAGAAATGAGGGTTTGAAAATGGTAAACTTTGATAGGGAATTTTTTAAAAAGCGATTTGAAATGAGTCCGAAAAGGAAGTGTAACAGAACAATAAAGACTTCCAAAAAGGAAACCTGAGAGAAATTATCTTATTTACTTTGCCTTTCCTTTAAACGGTTAGTGCTCTGTTCAGTAAAAATGGAGCTACTCTGCTGGGGGGAGATATGGCAGCTGTAGTCAAAGCTGGTGGGTGGCAAAAAGACAAGAACATAGATCTTGCAACCAATCCTCCCTCCCAAACATGGAGGGAAAAGGACAGTCGGATTGGGGTCTGCATTGGCATGTCCAACACATTCAGCGTGCTCGTCAGCGCAGCCAGCATAGTCTTGACTGCCTGTGCAGCGGTGTGACTTGTCTTTGTCCATCAGAGCATCGGTCTGCGATTTTGTTTTGCCGAAGCATTCACCCCAGTAATGCAATGCAAATCCAACATAAGCTTCTTTTCCAGTAGTCGCTCTTTTCTCATTTTTCTTCTTCACCTCCTCGTTGCATCTACAGGCCAGGCTGTCGAGAAAGAACAGAAACTGCTTTTTATTTGCTCAATTTCTTACAAAATGACAAAATTCATAGCCAAGTTCATTTTTAGAAATCTATTTAGAATCAGTCAGTGGCTTCCGAATGACTTTATACAATGATTGGTCTTGCTTTATCCTCACAACCCCCTGATGTTCATATTAAACTGCATACTGAAGTTAGTGCCAAGCTCTCAGAAAGCTCAAAAAAGCAGTATTGTATTTTGATTCTGCATAGTAAGGCATATTTACATTATGTTATTTTTAACAGATCTTTCATGTTTGCAATGAGCAATAATTGGCAAAAAAATTTAATAAAAAAGTTTTGGCATGCAACTTACTGATGCATAAATGCCGCTATGTCTCCCCATAGAACTTCGTCTCGTTGGGAGAAAATTAAGTCGCCTTTTTTAGCGTAATATTCGTCGTAACACCCGATCTTCTTAAAGTCACGCTCACATGTCTTCAAGGCAAGAGCTGAAAAGAAGAAGAAATAACGTTTGCCAATTGCTGCACCAAAAGAGCTCTGGTAAATGGGGCTTGAAAGATAATTTATTTCAACTTTATAACATAACGTATACTGCAGATGGGTTCATGAGGTTGCAATGATAGAAAATCAATATTAAGTACGCCTTAAAGTATTACAGTGAGTTTGAAAGTTGCAACTGCCCGTGCCATCGTATTTGCTGTCTACAAAGCCTATCAGAATGAATAACGTAGAAATTTAGGCATGCATACCGTCTGTGCAATGCAGAGCAGCAACGCAAAGCACAACTACACTCAGCAAACGCATGATTGTATTGTTCCTATGAAAAACAGAGATATATTAAGACAGAGATAAAGTAAGATAGTAAATGCGAAACTAACTAGAATCGAGCTTTATTATCATATGCATGTTTTAAAGATATGAAAAACATGTTTGTGCAACGATGTATCAGTTCGAAAGATTTAGAACAAGCCCTACTTTTTACCCTATTAATGAATCAAAATGAAAGTTATCAATTTTAGGTGATGATCAATATGATGTCAAAATTTTTGTTAACGGCATGATTGATAATTTGATTACGAATTCGTTAATAGATATGATAAGAAATTTCATAGGGAAGCAACTGCGAATCAAATAAAAGAACTGACACTTCGAATGCTTACATATGCAGATCCAAGGCTCTTCGTTCTTGATGACAAAGTGACTTCGACTACATACATTCCATGGCTTTTATACATTTATCGAAGCCCTTTCAAAAAAGCAAACAGTTTTCAAATTATAAATTATCATGAAGAATAAGAATTCAAACAGTGTTTGCAAACGATTTTAAAAGCCGAAAAATCTTCTTTTGAGCAAAATTGATGAAGAAAATAAAAGAAAAATTGATGAATAAGATCAATAACATTCGCATTAATAATTTTTTTATAGCCTGGCAACATGTAGCTTTGATTTAACACATACTGTTTACAATCTACTTAAAGGGAAATTTGTTTCAAAATTTCTCAATTTGTAACAACCAAAGTCGGTGATTGCTTAGGAAGATTTCGCTTGCTTTATTTAGTAAGCGACTAAACACGTTTAGAGGAGTGAGGAAATGAGTCCTGAAGAATCTGTACAAGCGTAAACATTTCTTTAACATAGCTCTGCATTGCCAACAGCAGAGGCGGATCCAGTTTGAGCTCCTTGGGGCACAGAACTCAATCAGTTTTCCAACATACTGCAAAAAATAGTGTTTCCTGAAACAAGTAATATTTAAATTAAAAATTTAAACCTAAAAATTCTAAGTTTCTCAGTCTCTTCAAAATCTTAAAATTGCCAGTTTCTTCTCTGTCGTGATTTGGAAACGATTTTCCAGACGCTGTGGAGGACAACAGCAATCAATCCTAGAACTCGGAAATAAACGTTTTGTGTCTCGGAAGTGACTGAATGGAAACAATAAACTTTTTGTTTGGAACTCGGTCGGAAATGATACCGTATTTGTAAGAGAGCTGTAAAATGGCCCGTAGTTGATTGGCTACCTATTGTTTCTGTTCTTTTGTGGAACTGCAAAACATTGAATTCGAAATGGCGACTGCAAATGTCTTATACTCACGACCATCGCAGCATTCTAGAAGATTATTAAGCCTTTGAGATAAAACCAGAAAATAAGAATTTTCATTGTTTCCAGTCCCCCTTTAATTTATCGCATTGTAAAAAATATGGCGGAGCGCTGGAATCGTGTTTAGGCTATTGTTCCAGCTATTGTTCTCGTTAACCAATCCACAACGAGACAGATTGCCTTTAAGCAAAAAGCACTATAGTTTTTTCCAAGACAACCCTTAAGCCTCTATAAAGTTACAGTAAGTTCCTAAAGCAGTTAAATTCAGGGGGGGGAGGCTTGATTATTAGCCGAGAATTTAAATTGCCTTATTTCGACCTTCCCGGTAGTTGGTTCATTTTAATCCCAATGCCAGTGAGATTTGCTCTTACAATGCTTCAATACATATCAGGCTTTCATAGTTTAATTCCTCTTATAAAAATACCATTTCAACATCTACTATCATAGCTATAAATGCAGGATTTCCACTAAATAAATAAAATTGTGACGCAGTTAAAATTTTTCCAAGTCGTTTCTACTTGTTTCCTAGTTGTTTCTACTCATTTCCCGTTATAGTAACCACGGCAAAAAAATCAAAAAGGGGTCTCAGTTCTACCCCCTTGCCTTGCTGCAAACATAAAATCAATAAGATATTTTCTAGAACAACAACGCAGTGCCTGTGGCAAAGACAAATTTTCCCATCATTAAACTCTAGTCGTCACCTTACATCTTTTCGGCCACAAAATTTTATGTTTACAGACAAAATCTTAGATTTTCCAAAACATTTAATCTAGTAGGCTCTTGCCTTTCCGACATGTTGCAAATACCTCGTTTTAAACGAACAGAACTTACTTTTTTCAACCATAGACTTTTTATTCTGACCAAATATTTTAGAAGGTTAAAGCTCTTTACATCCTCCCAGTTATAAGTTGACAAGAGCTTTCGTAATATAATATTTAAGAAACAATCTTACTTTTTTTGTGAATGTCATGTAAATGCTGGTAAATACTCTTCTTGGTTGTACAACGTAGCAGCGCAGATGAGGCATTCGAATACATCTTTTTCGGAAATTATCTTTTTCACAAAAAAATCGTTTTTTGTCTCTGCATCCATTGGATCGCTTCCAGCTTGTTTGATCGTTTTAATTTTCAACCTATTTAGATAACTCCTCGCCGAGGGAGGGCTTATTGACAATTTGTAGTTCTAGGGTGGGGATTACTCGAGGGGGTGGCTTTTTCGAGGGGGGGATGGGGCAATTCGATGATCTACGTTATTTGGCAAATTGATAATTTGCCTATCCCTGCCCCATCCGAAGAGCAATCCGCTCTTGCATATAGCGTACGAGATTTCTACGAAAACAAAATGATTTCAAGGGATTTTTAGATAAAACAATAGGATTTCTACCAAAAAGTGTACGAGATTTTCATCGCCCCCTCTCAGCGGCCCAGGTAACTCCGTCCTTGTAAATTTTAAGATTAGTATCAAGCTTTTCCAAGGACATAACTGTATTGGTTGCAGGTTGGCCTTTTTCAAGCCCCTTGCCCACGCCAGTTCAACTGGTCGGGTGCATCCTTTTGGCAATATTCGAATAAGTTTGCAACAGGCCCTCCACTTTTTGCAAAAAATGCCAAATATTAATAGGATCTATAGACTAAATTTACAAGAAAATGCCGTTCGACATGTTAGGATTATAAAAGGTCCCCAAAGATCCTAAGTTGTAGTGTCATTAGAACTCTGAATCTATTGCCATGAAAACTCTGAATCTAAAGTTCTGCTAAGCATAAAACATCACAACGAGTTCTGGAATGGTATTCATTTCAATATCAAAATTTGTAACATTCAAGGATTTTCTGGTAAGGTAAAGGAATAAAAATAGTAGCCGTACACCGAAATAAGATGACTTGTCAGAAGAAGCCTCCAGCCTCATTTGATGTCGTTTCGAAGGAAGAAAAGGCTTCTGCTTTTGTGTAAGCCTGTCTAATCCAAGATCACACCATGTTTTGTCTGCATTTTGAAACAAACTATGGATAAAACAGGGTAACCCCTAGGTAAATGACAAACCTAGGAAGTATCCAGCTTAGTTTTTTGGTAAGGACTGTTGCTGTTTTTTACTGGACTGGTTTTGTGGTTAGGTATAACGTAACGCAAATTACACGGCAGTCGCTTGTTCATCTCCCTAGCCACCCACCATTTGATTAACCTGCCAAACATCAATTGTAAGTTGAGAAATAGAAAGAAAATGCTTTCAAAATTGCCAATCGAACCATCGCTAAGTTTTTGTAGTAGTTTCATTAATATATCAAAAGCAAAAATTTTTGCAGAAGTATAATACTAAAAATTACTTTGAAGTGAAATCTTTTATAACTGGCCTTCGCTGTCACGATATTGTAACAAGCAAAAAGCTGATCTAATGTTTTCAACGTTATCACATTTTCAAGAGTCATTAGTCGTCAAGGGCGATTTCAACATTTTGGCCCTTTCTCTGTCAAAATTTTCATGTTTGCTGCCCGTTGAAAGCAATAACATATACTATATTCATCTCAATTTTGGCGGGCGGTGAGCTGGGTCCAATGCGTCAGATGTCACACGATCCATTCCTCCTGTTATCTGTTGCTTGGCTTGAGAACACCAAGGCTATGGAAGTTCCTATTATTAAGATATTGATTGGTCAGTAGAGTAAGCAAGATATCTTTTCAAAAGATTGCCTTACTGGTGCCATGGAGAGAGAGGGGCTCATTGGGGCTCAGCCCCCTTTTTTAAAGTTCAAAATGACTTAATCAGTGCTTAGCTTGCCTTAACAAGTGAGTTCATATTTAGTTGAACGAATTCTTTGTTGGCAACCCTTTATTTTACTATAGATTTCTCACGAATGAGAAATTTCTTATCAATCTATTTGTGTCATCGAATAATTTAAATGATTTCTACACAAAACAGAGAGTTTAAACACACTTGCAAGTATATTTGGTGTGGTAAGGGTGAGATCATGCGTCTGGCCTTTGAATTTGCTCACAGCGCTGCCCATCTTCCTAACTTTTTTGAACAGCACCCCTGTTTATTGGTTATGCCATTTTATTCTGATCTCCTCCGCATTTACTGTTACCAGAGCAACTGACTTTTCAATTTGGAATGCGGTTTTTCATTCGCGTGCAGCAGAATTTGAAATTGAATTGGTATTGCTGAAAATTGCTATGAATCAATCTAGGTTAAAATCTGATTAATGTGCTGTTTATCTTCGCATTTTGGAGATTACATTTTTTTATTAAATATAAACAAACACCATTGTTTAATGAACATTAGCTCTATGACAAAGAACCGAACGACTCAATGCCAAAAGATTGATGTTGATGCAAGCTGCAACCTAGTCTTTATCAATAGTTCTCAAGTTTTTTACTTTATCATTTACTCTGGTAATTATAGTTCCGCGAGCCCCAATTGTAAACTTAGCCCATCATTTTCACGAATAGTGGAATAAACATGTTGAATTTCTTTCATGTAGACAGAGCGCCTATTTCTTGCCAAGCCTTACAAATTCCGTAAACTACCCATGGCTTAGCCTGCGCCGCAGACCCAATCCTCCAAAGAGAATAGGGTCTGCGAAC